AATAATAATAATAATAATAATAATAATAATAATAATAATAATAATAATAAAAGAAATGTAAAAAAAAAAAAAAAATGTGATACCTGATAAGTACCAAATAAAAAAATCATCTAATTAATATTCACTTTTCTCTTTAAGGAGGAATGCCGCCACATCTTGTGGATGTCGACATTGACCACCCAATAAAAGAAGTCCACTGGGTGTTTCTACAACTACAGGTGTATAACGCCAATGTGGACCCTCTATTCCAGTTAATATGATGGGATCCACCATGTTAAGATGAAAACAATTTTCCTCCGCATTTATTTCCTTCACCTCTTTTATTCTATCACACCCTTCAGCAGCATCTTTTCCACCAACAAAGACTGCCGTAATAGTACCATCTTTTTTACGAAATACACCACCTGCATGTCCATTAGATCTTGGAAACATCTTACTACTATCACTATCACTATTATTATTATTATTATTATTATTATTATTATTATTATTATTATTTTGGATTTGTGTCCAAACATTTTCACGTGAAAAGTCACATATCCAAACATCATCAAGACTTTTAATATCCCCCTTTACAAAATGAGCTCCTCCATACAATACACAGAGATGCGGTGCGAGAAACAAAAGTGGACCTGAAAGAAGACGAGGTGTTGGGGCTATTCCACCCGTCCTGATATGTTTCCAAATCCATGTATTTATATTTAACACATACAATTCATTGGTCTGTTCGGCCTCATTTGTTTCACCTCCAAAAATAATAAAATTTGTCCCTGTCGCCGCAGCGGAGTGTTGTGTAGATGGAGGAGGAATATCACCCATCGTCTGCAGTTCCTCTGTAATAAGCAAAGGACCATCACTTTTACTTTCACTTTCATTCTTATTATGGTGAAGAGAGAGTTTAAGAAGTCGATTCGTGCGATCCATGTTGACATCTAATCCACCAAACATAAAAGCAAAAGTATCGGTAATGCGAGTGAGTGAGGCGCCATCGCATTCAAAGCAGGACTCCGCATTAGTGAGTGTAATCCAATGTAATTGTGGGAGTTGATGGACTTTACTGCCAATAACAAGACCATCCCGTTCCCCTTCACAGTAACCTCCTACACACAATATCCATTCTTCTTCTTTTTCTATCTCGCGCAGAAGTGTTGCGCAATGACCTTCGCGGTTTCCTAATGTTCCCGTGAGTTCCTCACAGGGAATCCATTCCATTAATATAATCACTCTTTTTCCCTCTTCTTCTGATCTCTATTATTATTACTATTTAATAAATAAATAAATAAATAAATA